ATTCTCCTGCCTCAGCCTCCTGAGTAGCTGGGACTACAGGTGCCTGCCACCACACCTGGCTAATTTTTTTGTATTTTTAATAGAGACAGGGTTTCACCGTTTTAGCCAGAATGGTCTCGATCTCCTGACCCTGTGATTCACCTCCCAAAGTGCTGGGATTACAGGCATGAACCACCGTGCCCGGCCTATTATTGAGAATTTTTACAAGAAGTTTAATTTTAGTCTGTTCATTGTAGTCACTCCATGGATTCCTTTGGGCAACCCAGACCAGAAGATAATCAGTCAGTAGTCAGCAGAATGCAAAAGAAATACTGGAAAACGAAACAAGTCTTTATCAAAGCAACAGGAAAAAAAGAGGATGAGCACTTGGTGGCGTCTGATGCTGAACTGGATGCTAAACTTGAGGTAAATTTGAGCATTCTATGTATTGCATATAACCGGCCATTATTTGGGGCTCCAAGGGGGACTGCAACAAGTTTTCACACTGGAGAGCTTATGGGGATAATAGAATATTTAGTTGTATCCAGCTGTCAGTCAGAGCTCTGACTAGGAGGTCACAGTTCTCACAAACTGAAAATTTGCAAAACTGGTATTCACTAACTTAGATAAAATATGAATAAAGTAGTTTCTCTGGCACACATATTATAGTTTTTAAGCCAAGTCTTAATGAATTAATTACATTCTCAATTGAGACCATGTACTCATTATATATCAAGTCATACTATTTTGTAGTACTTTGATATGAAGTCTTATACCTCATTGAAATAATTAAAATCAAACACCGAATGAATATAAGTTATTGTTTCTATTTTATTAAGAGATAGAGTTATTGAAATATTTCCTAATGCCTTTTTTAACTGTTTTTTATTTTAAATAATTGCCGTGAAACAATTTTAAAGCAATAAATGGTTTAAAGTAAGTAGGCTAATTAGAGAAGAGTAGAATATAAATGAATAAAAAAGTCTGATTTTTTTTTTTTTTTTGGACGGAGTTTCACTGTGGTTGCCCAGGCTGGAGCACAATGGCGCAGTCTCGGCTCACCACAACCTCTGCCTCCTGGGTTCAAGTGATTCTCCTGCCTCACCCTCCCGAGTAGCTGGGATTACAGGCCTGCACCACCATTCCCAGCTAATTTTGTATTTTTAGTAGAGACAGGGTTTCTCCATGTTGGTCAGGCTGGTCTCAAACTCCCGACCTCAGGTGATCCACCTGCCTCAGCCTCCCAAAGTGCTGGGATTACAGGTGCGAGCCACCATGCCCAGCTCAAATGTCTGAATTTTTAAATGCAGATTTAATAACACACACACATACATATATATACACATATATATATACACACACACATACACACACTAATTTAAGCTAACTCTTACAAATATTTCTAAGCAGGGATTCTGTTATACTTGGAATATAATCATTATAGTGGGATTCTTAAAAATATGGGTCTAATTAAACTGGTCTTGATCAAGTATTTTCATTCTGCAAAAAGTAAACTTACTGCCAAAACAAATACGGAAATAGATAAAAAATTTGACAAGATTTTACTATTTGTATTGAAAAGTATTCCTAGGATTCAGTGACAAATGTGTAAAAATGAAGACTTTATTATTATTGGTGTTGTATGTTTTAACGCAACAGGAACTTGTTCCAGATATATTCCCATAGAAGTGGGAATGTACGAGGTTTTGGTATTGTTTTACATTGTTAGGTCATCTGTGGGTGACATGTTTTATATTCAGTGTAAATCTGGCCATTAGATAAGTATTTGGAATCAACCAAGAACTTTCTCCCACATTTGTATTTTTAAAAATGAGAAACAGTTTTATTATAAAAATAAAAATAGTACGTAAACCTATGGAAAAAATACCAAGCATAATCACGTCATCTTAGTAGAACTATCTTTTCTGTCTGTATTCTTTTTTTTTTTTGAGATGGACTCTTGCTCTGTTACCCAGGCTGGAGTGCGGTGGCATGATCTCAGCTCACAGCAACCTCCGCCTCCAGGGTTGTTCAAGCAATTCTCTTGCCTCAGCTTCCCAAAGAGCTGGGATTACAGGAGCCTGCCACCATGGCTGGCTAAATTTTGTATTTTTAGTAGAGACAGGGTTTCACCATGCTGGGCAGGCTGGTCTCTAACTCTCGAACTCAGGCGATCCACCCACCTCGGCCTCCCTCCCAAAGTGCTGGGATTACAGGCAGGAGCCGTGAGATACCGTGCCCAGTCTTTTGTATTCTTTCTAATCTTCTTCCATATGCATTTAAAACAGATTTTACAATTGCCAAATCCAGATACCAAATGCACTTCAAACATGTCTAAAGTCATAAGGAAAATCGATGCCTGCTCCTCCTTTTACGATTTTCGTGTTTATTATCTACCTTCTTTAGGCTTGACCAAACATCAAAATAATAAAAACTGCTCCAGAGATAGAATGTTCAGGCTTCTTGATGATATTAGGCATCTGAAAAATCAAAGGGTTAGGGCTTAGTATTATATACCAGTACCAAGGTCTTTTTGAACTAAGTCACATAAAAATTCTTTAGTGTAGCTGGGTGTGGTGGCTCACGCCTGTAATCCCAGCACTTTGGGAGGCCTAGGCGGGCGTATCACGAGGTCAGGAGATCGAAACCATCCTGGCGAACACGGTGAAACCCCATCTCTACTAAAAATACAAAAAAATTAGCCGGGCATGGTGGTGGGCGCCTGTAGTCTCAGCTTCTCAGGAGGCTGAGGCAGGAGAATGGTGTGAACCCGGGAGGCGACGGAGCTTGCAGTGAGCGGAGATCGCGCCACTGCACTCCAGCCTGGGAGACACAGCGAGACTCCGTCTCAAAAAAA